CCCAGCCAGCATGGGGAATTCTGGGAGTTGAAGTCCATGCATCTTAAAGTGGCCAAGTTTGAAAAACACTGTCCTAAAATATTCAAACCATATGAGTATAAAAACAGTGAATATTATTTTAAAACAAACCAACAGACACACTTTAAAGAGAATGAACAAAAATCAAGAAAATCAAGAAAAAACAATGCCCCCACCAACACTGACAGGGCAAGCTACTGTATATAAACAGAAAGCAAACCCCACTCCCTTCTAGCACTGAAGATGTTACCTGGCCAGGTAACAAAACGTCTGCAAGAAAACAACCAAGCTCAGAGAACCCCAGGGACTCTACAGAATCTTAAAGGGCAGCTGGTCGTAGTGACGTGGAGCAGGGAGAATCTTTTATAGTGGCTGTTTCCTGCCTTTTTCCCTCTCCTTTCTGGGATCTTGTGCATGGGACAATCGATAGTAAAGTTTTAATTTGCTAGGACTCTATACCAGCCCTGCCTAGAAAGGCAGGATCCACCCCTTTGCATTCATGGCACGTCCTCTGCCACTGAGCTGCCTCCCACCCTCAAGAGTTAACGTGGAAGAAAGAATTGGGAAATGGCTTATCCCATCACCTACTTGCTACCTGGTCACTGGATGCTGGGCGTTTAACGTGTTTTGGTAGCCACCAAACCCCTTGGACATTTCTTTCTTTTTTGCAGGTGGTATTCAATGTTCAAAGGCTGAAGGCTGTCCAGCGAGAGGAAGGGTGGTTTTTGCTCCGGCCAGACAAATCCAAGCCAAGGTTGGATGAGTAAGTCTGAATTTTCAGTGCATACCAGGCTATCAAAGGAGAAATGAGAGCTGATGTTGGGGAGCATCTCAGAAGTTCAGAAGTGTTTCCTCAAAAACATGGGAAGTTGCCTTACACTATCTTGAACTGATTTGCCTCATTTTATTTTATTTTATTTTATTTTATTTTATTTTATTTTATTTTATTTTATTTATTTTTGTCTGATTAGTTAATTTTGCCCCTGAAGGCTAGAAGGAGCATTAGAGAACAACTTTGTTCCTCTGGAGAATAAGTGTGGCTACCATGAGAAATGTTCCATGAGATCATCCACAACAGACCCTTAAAAGTTGAAATGCGCCTACCAGCCCAAAATGCTAGGAAAGTGGTAACCAATGTATAAGGTGTATCTAAGATTCTTATCTTTCCATGTGTTTCAGAGGGAATCTGGGCTCCTTACACCTCCAGGTACAGCTTCGGGATGAGATGGTTCTGCCATCCATCCACTACCAGCCTCTTGTCCAGCTGTTATGCCAGGAAGTTAAAGAAGGGGCCAAGGTGAGACCCATGTACCATTCTTGTCCCTGGAGATGGAGTGGTTGGAGTAAGAATGGAGAGTCCCCAGTTCTCATTCCCAAACATTTCTGATGGGTGACCATAGGCCATGTAGTTCTCTCATGCTAACCCACCTTACAACAGAGCTGGCCTAACCATTACGCAGAGTGAGGTACCTGCCTTGTGGGATGGGGAAAGAGGCAACAGGTACAGCTGTAGCCATTCCAGCTGAGCCTCCCAGTCACTCCCTTGCAGAACATAGCTCTTTAGGCCACACAGCCTTTCCTGAACCTCCTAAGCTGGCCTCCTGCCCCCAGGAGTGGTAGAGGATACTCCCTCATTGCCAGTGTTGAAGCCAACTGAACTGCTGGGTCAGCTTCTGTACATGGCATAAAGGAAGGGCCTTGTTTCATCTTTTGCCTTAGGCAGGTAAAAGTCTTTTGCCAATCCTTACGACTGTTGTGTGGCTCAGAACAAAAGGCAGCTACACGAAAGCTATAAATGTAATGAAAACGTGTTTGACAACACAGAGAATGCAGAAGGTGATGTTCAAAGGGCCACATGAAACATCCAGTTTTATGAAAAATAACCCTCCTTTTGAACTTAATGTGCATTAACTTCTCCATGGAATGTATTTCCTCTGCCCACACCCTTCTTACAGAACAAGAAAGTGCACTTAATAACCCTGATTGATGAGACCACAACAGCTGAATGTAGACAGGAACTGGCTGTCAACCTTGTCAAGCTCTTCCTGGGTCAAGGCTTGGTTAAAGAGTTCTTGGACCTTCTCTTCAAACTGGAGCTGGAAAGAACCTGTAAGGACCCAGGGAAGGGGGTCATATCCTGCATCACTTTATATCAATGTTTCTCATGCTGGCTGGGGAATTCTGGAAGTTGAAGTCCACACAGCTTAAAGCGGTCAAGATTGAGAAACACTGCTTTATACCATGATTTTTTGGTGGAGGGAGGGGAGGGTGCCTTCAAGTCAATGTTGACTTCTGGTGACTGCCTGGATAAGTCCCTGCAGTTTTCTTGGCAAGTGTGCGCGCGCATATATATAATTAATTAGATTGGGGAGTTGATTTTGTTTTAATTCTTTTTAATTTTAATTTTGACCATGAATGTTTTAATACCGCTTCTATCGTGTAAACTGCCAAGAGTTCATTCTGATTTTGATGGGATATCCATGTAATAAATAAATAAATACTGTGAAGGGTGGGGTGAGGGTTCAGAGGGGTTAGGCTCACACAACACTGGACTACTAGTGTTAGGTCGTTTGTGGTTCAGTGGGATATCTTAGTGTGTAGCTACACACTTGAAGGCACCCTCCCCTCCCTCATAAAAAATCATGGTATAAAGCAGTGTTTCTCAACCTTGACTGCTTTAAGTTGTGTGGACTTCAACTCCCAGAATTCCCCAGCCAGCATGTAGTTTGTGGTTCAGTGGGATGTCATAGCGTGTAGCACGTTGTGTAAACCAGGACACCATGTTAAATCATTTTTGATACAGCATGTTATGTGGACATAGAAATTTCATTTTTTTTTTAACCTAAATATATAGCATTTTGTGTGAATGAAGCCATTGGGCACTCTAAACCTGTCTAAATCAGTTGATGAATTGTCTGTCCCTTGACTCTTGTTGACTTGTTGACTCTTTCCAACAAGTACTGTTGTCTTTTTAGCTGGGTTGTGAATGGGCCTTTGTGCCTTTGTGTTCAATCTGGAATTGCCAAGGTATTTACAAGCTTTCTTGGGGTTTGGAAAAAAACACCAAACCATTTCCTCACTAGTGAGTTACAGCTTCATTCAACTACAACAGCACCAACAGAATAGCAATGAAGACCAGCTTGATATACCTGGAAGGATGGCTGGATGACACTAGAAGATGCTACTGATTACTAGTGAGGAAATGGCCCAAATCTTTTCTCCTAGCTGATCATCTTAGATTTTAGATGGAGACACTTCATAGCAAAGAGAAACTGAGGAAAATTCCCTAACCTGTTTAGTGTGGAACAAAAAAAAAAAAAAGGCTATTTTTCATCTGGCATTGTATTTTATTTGTGTATATTCATGTTGTTTTAAGTCTGCTTTTGTAAGCTGATTTGGAAAGGTTTGCCCTGAACAAATATATAAATATGCATAAATAAGTACCTTTGGGCCACTCACTGCCTGCTTGCCTAATCTATCATGCAGAATTATTGTGAAGATAATGTGTACTACATATGCTACTTTTTGCTCTTGCAGGATATAGATGCAATAAATCAATACAGAATATAAATTCTTTGGATAACATCTGAAATCTGTCATTCAGCTTTTTATTGGCCATCAGAACTTTGCACCTGCTCCTGAACATGCCTAGGCCTGGGTGGAAATGCCCACCAAAATCCATACTGCCTTGAACTAGAAATGTAATAAATCGATAAATTATGTATAAGGCGTCAAGCAATGCTACCGACCCTATGACAGCTACACATACTGTTCAAGGGAAACTTGTGATGATCGTGAAGCCTCTGGCACGGATTGGCTGCAGCAGAGAATATTCTGACTTGGCAAAAAGAGTCTTTGAAAGCCAGTGATGGCAAAGATGGATATCATATTGATTTCAGACAATCGGTTTTGCTGCTTCTGATATCTGAGAGAAAGATATATCTGGATCAAAGGAGACAGCCAGGGAAAGATGTCTTGACTCTTTGAAAGGTCAAAATGTAATCAATGCATAGCAAGTCATCCTGTTTTTCATAAAATATGGTCAATAACAGCAAAGTGGCCCAAAGGGTATATAGTTGTCAGCCTTACCAGTAGACCAGACAGGAAACATGACCAGAGGAACTAATTCTTACTTATTGTAAGGCTACATTAACAGAATCTTGCAAGTCTGAAAGTACAATTCCCTCCCCGTCTCCTTTACACCTCAAGAAATTAGGGAGGGTCTCTTCTGAGCCTCTTGCCCTGCCCACTATACAGCTGTGGGCTATGTCCTCTCTTATCTGACCATTCCCTAGGCAACATCTCTGGGCCCCATCGCCAACAGTCATTCCCACATACTATTACAATAGTTCAGTGACTGATCATAAGCCATTTTCTGTGTTTCAGATGAACCAAACACATTGTTTCGGAGCAACTCTCTAGCTTCTAAGTCCATGGAGTCATTTCTGAAGGTACTTGGTGGGATTCTGTCTTCCTTCTATGAGGTGGGTGGGGGGCACCTCCTACCAGTTCCTGATTATGAAGCCACTGTCTCCTGCCATCTCGAATCTCTGTCTCTGTAGGTGGCAGGCATGCAGTACCTCCATCGAATCCTTAGGCCAACAATCAACCGAGTTTTTGAAGAGAAGAGATACATCGAACTAGATCCCAACAAAGTGGAAAGCAAAGAGATCGGGTAAGAAGAAAGAAAGAGCAACAGTGGGGAGGCCTGCCTGTGAAGGAGAGACTTATAGTTGAGGACCTCACCATTTTTGAGCCAGTGGATACAAAATGTTGAGACGTGGTTGGGGATGTCTTCGCAAAGTAGCAGCCCTTGTGAGCATTATCGGTCATAACCCTTCCATTTACCAGAATGCAAATGGGGGTGGGGGTGTGGGAGTCCTCTTGTTCCCCAAGGTTGCTATCTCACACGCCAACTTTTCTAAAAATGCTGATTTGATTCCCAAATGCATTCTGGGAAATAAAGCGGGTGTGTTTCTTTTAAATGTGCCAGTTTCAATGCTAAATACATTTTAAATTAGAAGAATCTTTTAAAAAAAAGGGAGGCAGAAATCTTGGGTTAGTGCCAAGGGCACACCTGACAGAAAGATCTATCAGTGTCAAAGACATTCACATTCTCTACCTGGATGCTGTTTCAGGCATATAAAAATGCAAAGCCAGCAGGATTTATATAATTGTGCATAATAAAAACCAAACCTGTGTGCCAAGGAAACAAAGTGGGCCTTGAATCCTGCTGCTTGCTGGAAAATTCTTCTCATTGTCCTTTGTTGCCTGATGTGTACTTTGGGATTCAAACCTACGTCAGGCAACAGATCACAAGATCTTGGATTTTGTGGCTGGTAGGCATGTTACGTTGAGTATTCCCCTGAATATGAATATGGAATGAATATTATGAATTATGAATATGAATATGGAATGGCCTTGCCTCCTTCACAGAATTTTATAGAGGCTCCATAGAACCATGAATGTGTGAGGAAGAATCATCTTCTTAGAGGTCTTCTTGATCATCTTCTCCAACCTGGAGCTAATGAGAACTGAAATCCAACAATATTTGTAGGATCAAATGCTCTCTCCCTCTGAGCTAGATTATTCTTGCGTTTCTCTTAGTTCCCCTTTGCTTTTTTCCCTGATCTGTTTGGATTCCTCGCTTTCATCTTCTTCTTTGTCTCTTACATATGTGCATAAATAGTCACCCGTAGTCTGGATTTGTGTAACATGATAGATTAGGCTAAAATGGCTTTCAGTACTCTGTGCTTCAGCATGCTGTGGGAACGTAGCCATCGTCTTAGCGATATATATAAGTGAGCCATCATGGTTTTGTTAATGCAGCCAGAGAGAAAACAAGACAATTGCAATACCAACCTATCTAGCATGAACCAGCAAAGACTTTTTTGGCTTATATGCCCACATTTAATTAGTAGCTCCCACGGTGCAGCCTGTTTTTCTTGTTGTTGTTTACTTTTCAGTATGATGAATTGTGTCATTCTCTCTTAAGTAGTCCATTCCTATTCTTCCAATAATGGAAAGGGGAGTCGGTATTAATTAGCAATTTCTCGGCATTATTTTTCTCCTTAAATGTTTGTAGCTACAGGAGGAAAATATGCAGATCATAACATGTATCTGCGCTTGGAAGAGCTAAGAAGCTCTGCATGCTGAGACCCCAGATATACGTCAAGCACAAAGGGGATCCCGCTACTACTGAGACCCGTCTATAGCAATTTTAGATCTCTGATCATTACAATTACAGTACTTCCTTTAGGAAATGAAGCCTGGTTGCCTGGTTAGAGCCAGTAGCAGCTCTAGCGGGGCTTCAGCTAAGGAGCCTCCTCCAACTCTAATGATGTCACCAGTCATTCACCTGCTACTCATGCTTTCGGGGCAGGAAGCAGCCATTTTGAATGTGACATCAGTCAGATTGGGCACTGCATTTTGGGTAATCCAACATAGCTGTGAGTGCCATGCAGGAAGCCCTGGCCTATCTTGTCTTCCACCCAGAAGTTCCATCAACTTCTGCCAAGGAAGTTTATCCTTAGTTGGGTAAGGTATGGCTGTGGTAGGCTTGGAAGGATTGGGAACAGGTTCTCCTGAGCTTCTGGGTATGTGGCAGATCCCTGACCAGGTCCATTTTTGCTACCAGACCTGCCTGGATAAAAATAACATATTGCTCTGTCTTAAGCACTGTGCCACCATATCCTCAGTAGCTGTGTCCCAATTTTTTTCAGTGCTCAAGAACAGATATGCACACATAGTTGGAAAAGATGCATTTTTGCATTTTTTTTAACCTACCAGATTAACACTTGCTTATAAGTGATATGTTAAAGGGCAGGAGCAGGGGAAGATGCAAAGGAGCAATATGGAGGTACATAAGAGGGTCTGCTTATTCTGTTTCTTGCACCAGGTGCTCTAGCCTTCACCGGATCCAGAGTGAAAGTGAGGTGATCCAGCAGAGCGGCCAGCTCCTTCAGTCGTATCTGACTGATCTCCTGAGCACCATCACCAGGTCTGTCAAGATGTGTCCTGCTATCATCCGTGCCACTTTTCAGCTACTTTTCAAGAGAGTTGGGGAACGCTTCCCCGAGGAGAAAGATCAGGTCAGTTGGGCAGCATTCTTGTAACTCTGCTTTTCCCAACCTGGGTCCCCCTCCAGGACTATAACTTTGTAATTCCATCTGTACACAATTAAGGATCGTGGGACCTGTAGTCCCAATATCCCAGGAAGGGCCCTGCATGGCGAAACACTCTTCAAGCTCCTCTGCTATCTCCTACTTGAAGTTTCTTGTCTAGCTGTGTAAATCTGGAAAAGAAGCATTTTTTTAAATGTCTTTTGCTCAAACCTTTTGATTAAAAATAAAGTTTCCCTTGAGCCAAGCATGATTACATGGATATGTCTGTATTGCTTTTTTGGCAACAGGATAGACAGACAATATTCTTGTTTGATGAATTTCTGATCTACCATCCTGGGACTTTATGGTGGTCTCCCATCTAAGTGCTGATCAAGACCACTCCTTTTAGTTTTTCTCGAGATCAGCCAAGATCAGTTAGGTGCTTCCACCTACTATATCCTACATTTAGGGCTTCATAAAAGGGATCCAGAAGTTGCATACGGTGAATATAGCTATTGGCCAGGATTCGTGGCAGATTCATTGCTGGCACCTTTAAACAAGAGATGATTTTTCAGATGTTATTTGTTAGCTACAAGGTCTGATTTTGGTCTTGGGCGAAATGAGGCAAGTATCTGGAGAAGGAGGAGGCATCTGTCTATAGCTTTCATTGGAATGGCTGTATAGATCATCCATGACAAATAACAGTCTACCTCTGAATGGTAGATGCTGAAGATTAACAACAGAGGAGGACTGCTGCTGCTTTGCTGGATATGGGACCTAATTAGATCTTGTGGGAAGAGGAGTAGCAGGACCTTACAGTCTCATCCAGCAGGGATTTGAATGTGTTTTTTAACCAATACCCTAAGGAAGGGCTAGTTTCATTTCTAATTTTGTTCTCTCTCCCCTACCACTCTCCTTTTCTCCAAGACACCAAATTGGGTGGTTCTGTGTTGCCTGTCAGACATTTTTGTCCTTAGTCTCTTCCCATCCCTTTTTGATGCTGAACTCTGTCCTTCTGCACTTGCAGAATGTGAAATTCATTGCCATCACCAGCTTCCTCTGCCTACGATTCTTCTCCCCAGCCATTATGTCCCCCAAACTCTTCCACCTACGGGAGAAGCATGCTGATGCTCACACCAGCCGGGCCCTGCTTCTGCTGGCCAAGGTAAGACCTGCCCCGGAAGAAATGCTCTTAATACTGTCTGATGATGTCCCAAAGTGGTCCTTTTTTACTCTTGTCAAAGGTCCCTGTTCACCTTTTTAGTGTCTCATTTCATCTCATCTTGCCTCCCTTCCCTTCCCTTCCCTTCCCTTCCCTTCACCTCCCTTCCCTTCCCTTCCCTTCCCTTCTC